TTATCAACATATCTACAATAAGCAGTTAATTGTTTTCTTAAGGTTGAAAATGAAGATATCTATTGAAATAGGGCTAAGTGTACTGGCTATAGTTACACCATCTGTTTAGCGATAAAGAGTGTTTTCAAACTGAAATTGTACATCTATGGCACACATTATCAGGAGGCGTTTGACTTCTGGCACTTGGAGAGGGAGAAAATCAGTATGCTAACGATTGATTGAGATCCTTGTGAACAAGAAGGCTACATCAAAAGACTCCATGAAATGTTCATGTGGTTCAGGCTTTGGCCAAGATTAAATGAATCTTTCATGGTGTACAAAGCTAGCCGTTGACAAATGGCTTCCAACTTCTCTGCAAGCAAACGAGCAACTTTATGCTGAAGCGAACTGATCATTGAAAGTGTAGGTCTCAGGAGAACATACTCTTTGTGTGCCTTTGGCAAGCCGTATATGTGAGGCGAACAGGACCTTCAGGGTTTGAGGAATAACAGTATCCCTCAACATGTTATCTAGGCTGTACAAGTGAAGATTTCAAAGGCAAGATTTGAAAAGTAAGACAGGTCTTTATTACTCAGAAATCAGTGTGAAGATCTGCTGCATTCATACAAACAAACAAGATAAACAACAAGATCTGAACTTTCGACAGTCAATTCAAGTCAGTTTTCTATATATGGTTTGAAGACTAGGCGTGTCATGTAAAGCATTTCGAGAAGGAGGTGTATACTTTCATCAATAGATGCTTTTGCTTCATACTGACAATCAGATGGTAGTGTGAGTCGGTGGCACAGCAGCTGGGACTCTCATTGACCATGCAAATTGTTCGGGGTTCGATCCCCTACCGACGCACACCTGATATCAAAGGTCGGCCTGCAAAGTTTTGGCTGCCAATATCACAAGCTGAGACTTTCATACTTGTACCAAAAGTATGTTGTGGAATCAAGCTGTGATCCAAATAAAAGATAAAGGACAGTGAAGCAACAAGGAGTTCTGAGAACAAACCAGTCAAGTACCTATCTTTCAACAAATAAATTTGCAGAAAGAAACGCAGGTGGCTTGAACACACGTTCAGTAGACCGCCGAGTGACAGCGCGTGCAAGGCATATCATACAGTGGAATCCAAATGGGTGATAACGAGTTGGCAGTGGGGTTGAGGAAGACATAAAGGAGGCCGTGTGAAAGGGAAGTAAAAATCTATCAGCAATCATAGAGCCAGCTTAGAAAAAGCTATAGATAACAGGATAAAATGGAGATGTGGTAGTGAAGACCTATGCTCCACTCAGAGTCGAAGGGAATAGCGATAAATAATGTAATCAGTATGTGACCATTTATTCTATAAAGGCTTATCAATAACACCACCAAACACTGTAAAAATTTAAACCGATTAAAACTAAATGTATTTTGGTAAAGTTTAAAATTGACCACTGTTCAATGATTTATCTCGTGTGAAATGAACAATAAAATCATGTTTACACACATTTCTCTGAGTAATTAATCATTCGAACAGTAAAATAACGGCGCATGGAACAGGAGAAACGCGTATCTTATCAACTAGACACAGCCGGAATAATGCAAATTAACAGCTTGATTACAACTTTTTTTTCCATATTATCTTCGTTCGCTGAAAGATAAACTGTCTTGCACTAAGAATAATACCAACAAAATAAACAGTGAATCCGTTTTATCCTGCTCCATGTGTTGTTACTGCTGTATTCAATAAGGGGGGGGGGAATTCATATACGGAAATTTCCTCACAATTCTCCCTTCTCTATCTGTTTATCTCTCCCTGAGCTGAGTCGAACCGGTTACACCTCTGAGGAGCTCAGCATGGAAATAGCAAGATGGATGCTTGGTGTTTAGATTACTTCGACCGACCTACCAAGTACTACTAGCAGATGTCATTGGTATACAACTACTTATTTCAATCTGCCAGTAGTGTATCGGGTATAAACAATCATTTTTGGACACTGAGACTGGCGAGGCAAGCAGTGAGTACAGAACAGCTGGGACGACGAAACAGAGGCGATGGTATTTAATTGAATTTGAGATTTTCCTGTCGATTGATTGGACCGAAGTGCTCGGTCTCAGGTTGACATGTCAGCCTGTTAATTATTCTACTGCTTGGTATGTGATGTGAAAAAAAACTTCGATTGGATATTTCTCACACTGCGATCTGACAATTCGTCAGTGTGTCAGAGTTACTGTTTCGAATATAGTCATTATTATCATCATTATGTTATTAGCGCAGTACATAGATCAACATTCACATACGAAAATAAAGTGGAACACGAGCTTGGAGAAAATTCGTATTCAGTACAATTCCAAGAATTAGAATGCTCGGATCAAGCGCATTATAAACAATCAGTCTTTCTTCCATATTTAATGTTACTTCTCAATGGCTGTTATTCCTCTTGAGTAAGTAAATTGACTCCCAGGTATTTTCTGGAAGGAAACATTGTTTAATATATTGGCTATATAGGCTTTTGTGATGTTATTATAGCAGTATTATTAGTAGTATTAGCTAGGTAAGTTCACAAACCATTTTAAGTAAGCTGACATGAACCCTTATCCTATTTAAATGTATCTCTCTATCGAGAATATTCTTGAGTAATTGAGCCTTTTTGATTTCAGTTTAGCTATCAGTATTTCCACGTTAGGTGGGGTAGTGACTAAGCGGATGCTTGAGTTCATTGTGTTTACTAAAGCTAATAAACTGTTATACAATAACAACATATCCATTCCCTTACAAATAAACTGGAAATACCGCATCAATCATAAGTGCCTGTACGTATAGTCTAAACAGGAACGAATCTATTCGGCTAAATTCGTAGTGGTAATCCCCTTTAATATTTACGAAAATGAAGTAGAATCCTAGAAATATGCAGATATTGGTGGAGAGTTTCTAGATTGACGTTACGGGCTACTGAAGACTCGTCATCCGGATGCGCCTATATCCAAGTTAGTAGTATCGTTTCGACTGACAGTTGAACCTAATATGTGTTGTCCAAAATTTCACAGCTCTCTTCAACAAACTGCCGAGTGATGACAGCCATCTCTTGTGCAGACGGCATCAGTCATCATTTATTGAAATCATTCTGAGTGTCTTCTAGTACAAACACTGAAAGGATGCCTTTCAGCCAATACAACAACATATTCTGTCGACTAAATGAAAGGCTGAAAACAAATTTTAAAAATATCTAGCAACATGCTCATTGAACGTTCAGCGAACCCTGAATAAAAACTTTATTTCACCGTCACCCCGGAATGATCAGCAATGTGTCGGAAATCATCAGTTAAGAATGCGGACTAATTGAACTGATAAAAGTAAAAGCTTATAACCATGTCAAACCGAAAATTAGGAAGGTGAATTATACAGTGTAGATGTCTGTAATTTGCTAAAAGAACAGGTTCCAATTTTTAATAGGAGTGGTTATTAGACATTATACCATTCTGGTGATGTTCACAACGCTAAATATTTCAAGTGAATGTTGTCAATAATCTTCACTGCAAGTTTCACGCCGACCTTAAACATCACCCTACTACTAATTCGAAATCAGGGTGAAACTTTTAACGAAGATTATGTAAAGTATCCATTTGTAATGATGAGCTATCCGACTGGTTGCTTCAAGGTCATCCGCCTGTGGTATCTATTCTCTACTTTTATCATGCATTTCTGTAAAATATGAAAGTTATCCCATATAATGACATAGTGAATAAATTGTGGAGCTCAGTTAATCAGTCTTACGCGTTATATAAAAGCATTAACTGATGAATACTACTGAGCAATGATTGTCAATTAAAAAAGAAGCTTCAGACGCTTAGAAATAGTAGTGTCACTCACAAGAGTAAGAGATAAGTAATATGCCTAATGTATATTTGAAAGTTAGTGGTCTGAAAATAAAGAGTAAGAGGAAAGCAACGTAATCAATATCGGCTGTATGACAAACTGTTGTGCGATATTGAAGCAGATCACCGACAACAGTCAGAAAGACATTCTTCACCGCATTTTTATATCCCACTCACCTGCATACAGTACTTTGCGTTGTGCATCGGTGGCACAGAGTTAGGACTCTCGCCAACCATGAATATGGTTTGGGGTTCGATCCCCTACCGACGTACACCTGATATTAATTGGTCGATCTTCAGAGTTTGGGCTATCGATATCACATGCTGAAAATTCCTTACTTGTACCAAAATACTGTATGGAATCAAAAATTTATTAAAAGAAATTATCATAATATTATGTGAGTGTTTTGAGATTGGCTTACAGGTTTCAAATAGTAAATTTCATGTTATCGTTTAGTTGAAATTCATATGGGTAACTGATTTCTTTCATCCCTAATGCAATGATACTTTATACGCATACTTTATGCACTAGCCCGAGTATTTCTAGTCGAAAATATACTCAGAGAAGAATTATTTAGTTTCCTCACTAATATTTATTTGTTTATTGTTTCTGTTTTGATGCAATCAGAAAGGTGAATGTATTTTCACCCTGCATTGCTTTATAATGAGTTTAGTAATACACAAGATTGATTGCTTGATCGATTAATTTTACCGTGCCACTTAGAGCTAGTCGTCGTCTTATAGGATATCAGCAACAGAAGTCGTTATAACAAACCAAATGCTAACGCTTGTCTATCTATTGGTTCAATACAGTCACAATGTAGGTGGGCTTGACCAATCAGAATACGCCTAGATAGACGGACAGACTGGTTATTCTATCTGTCTATCTTACCATCCAATGTCGTCGTAGCTGTAGTTGAAGTAGTGAGGGTGGGGGTGGGTGGGTGAAAGTCAGCCCATTGGTCCAGGTGACAACTATATATACAAGCTGTTTCTTTCAGACCGTTCATGGGATGTCGTCGTTTTCAGTGTTAATTACTGTCTTGCCCTAGCATTTCCCACGTCTTATCACTCGACATTAGTTACAGACGTGTATATAATTCCGGTGCGAAATTAACAAACATATCTAAATTCCTTCTCAATTTTCATTCATACACATGCCACTGCCGTCTGAAGACTCATCGTCACTACCATCCGGTTCGAATTCTCTGGAAAATTCGTCTGATTTTTGCATGACAGTTGGAATGCCATCTTCAAAAAGCTCTACCAAAGTTTCTACATCAAACATTCGACCTCCTTTTAATATAGCTAACATTCTATCACCTCAAAATGAGACAAAGACGTCAAGTAGTAGACAGAGTGGAGACCATATTCAAATCACTGAAAATAATAAATATGTTCAGAACACAAATCCACTTTTAAATTATGGTAAGTCATCAGATCTTGTTTCAAAGTGAAAATTTACATGTACACTGTTCATTAGACTTCTCTCATTCAATCAAGTAATCACAAAGTTAGTGTAGTGTAACTCCATGCGTTAAAGTGGCCTCAATATTGATCCGATAGTCGTTATTTTGATTGTCGATGATAATTTCCAATGAGTAATCTTTTTTGTGTTGACACCTAAATTTTCTATTGGGATACTCCAAATCTTATACTGCTCAGTTTTCGACTCATTTTGTTTAATTCCTAACGGCTGATGAAACCCCCGCCTAATGTGGATAATCTATGCTTATTCGTAAAATCTATTCGAATATTAGATGCTTGATATTGGCCTGGTAATAATGTCTTTTATAAACTCAAGGAGAAAGTAATCGAGAAGAATATCAATATACTTATTTCTTGGTGAATGGTTTTCGTTTATGTCAGATTTCATTTTTTTTTTTCAGTGCTAATTTATATTCCTCAGATAATCTGAACATGGTGTAGGCATCTACAGACTTCCACATTACTTATGACTTATGTAGTTCATCCCACGGGGCATTTGATTTTATGCCTATTTCTTTAATACACCAAAGTGATATTTACTCTGAAAGCGTTCAGCCTGTTTGTTATCTCCCTTCGTGCATTGTTTAACTCTGGTACTTTGTATTTCTAAAAGAGAAATCCAATCTGTCTCACTTTCTATGCAAGTACTTGCCTCTTATTGCAATCACTGATTCACAGGATGTATAGATGCATTTGCCAGATCATTTTTGTATGTCACACACACACATACACACTATTATGATTTGCTGTTTTATGGTTAAATCTTTATGTTGTAAAATCAAAACACGCAAAATAATTCATCATCTAATCTGAAATGTACTTTGTTTCACTGGTTTTTACAATTCAGTAGGAAATTTGAGGTAAATACCTTTGATTGATAGTTTGTTAGTGTTAATGTCTGGATTGAGTGACTTGGATATGACCTCTAGACACAACTAATAAAATCGGAATTGATTACTGCAGAGTCGATCCGAGTTCTCGTAACGGAATACAATAAGTTCACTATTTAGGTCATATTGGAAGTTGACTGTGAGATAATACATTTCTGAGAGTTACGCGAATAATTTAATTAATAGACATCAGGTAAGTTTAAAAATCTTATTTCTGTAGAGGAAAAGAAGTTGGTCTACTGCTGTGAGCTTCATCATATTCAATAGCGACGTTCATTGTTTCTTTCCTGAGTTGATCTAGTTGTTTAGATTACTTCTAGGTATCTTATTTATTAAGTGGAATAATGGTAATAATAATAACATTGGGCTGACTGATTCCTGTCTTTATTATTATTATTATTGTTATTATTATTGCTATTATCATTTCCTTGGGTTCCAAATGGAACACAAGGCTTCAACAAATTGTTCTATTTTCTGTTGTCCTCTTTAGCTGACTGGCTCCACGATTGTCCATAGTCTCTGATCTCCTCCATGTCACCTACGGACGAGCCACTTGCCGCTACCAATTTGGGTTCCACTCGGGCAACGTCATGGTACACGATGTCATTCAATGGTCACATCAGCCAGCGTGTACCTAATTAATCCATCTCCATTTTGAGCAATAGGTTCTTGGTTGGTTGGTTGGTCGGTTGGTTTGCCCCCACACTTCATTGTTGCTAATTCTTCCTGGCTGGCCATTTGATCTTCATTATGTGAAGCCAGTGAGGGGGAGGAGGAGGAGGTGTTGACTTCTAGTTTAACAGCGAAATGAGTTGCTTTAAAACACCTAAAACTATTTACGAGAGGATTAACTTTTACGGCCTAATTCAACTTTGTAGGCGTATTTAACGGAATTCTCACTAAGTGAATTTTTTTCACCTTCGTACATTTTTCTCCTATTATTACACTTTCTCACAATCACTGATAAGCATCTTGAAGAGAAATTGTTATCTTCTTGAGTTATTTCATGGATGGTAAAAAACAACCCCAGTATAAGTTCGTCATGACATGAAAATCCATGTGAAAAAAATATTCCGGGCATATTAAACCTATAGGTGATGAAGCGATTAGTGGGAAATATGGGTACTAGCTCAGTGTATCCACGATGTCTTCGAAAAAATTAGTCAAGTCAGACAAGCTAGTCTACACTGAGCGGTCAATATGTTACAGACCAATGCTCACACATACTCCTACTATCCTTATCACTAATAAGTAGTCGAAATAAATAGCAGTCAAACTGATTGATTAGGTCACCCTTCATTTTACTGCGTAATTATAATAATAATTATATAGATCAGGCTGAAGTGGAAGAGTTATTGACGCAGGAAAAATTAGATTTTATGTGAATACAAGTGAATGCTGTAAGCTGATGTCATAAATAGGAAAATGTGGAAAAAAAATGAGCCTTTGTCGAAGAAACTGATTTGAGAGTTGTTTGAAATCCTACTAATGTTTTTGAATGCCGATTGGTGTAACAGCAGCCCATCCCAAAATATTGGGGAAAAATACCTGAAAATAATTTTGTATATACCGAGTGTATGGGAGTGTGAAACTGCAACAAGTCGACTTCAGCTATTCAGTAGTAAACGCCTGCTGCTTTGATGAAAACTGAGGAAAATTTCAGTCAAAGTCAACTATGTTTTCAGGGGAATTTCCTTTGGCGCTGACAGTCAGTAGGCCTTGTTCTTTATTAGAGATGAAATTCACCTAACATATATTAGAAAGCTCTTTTAAGGACGCGTATTACTCATGTACTCTCCGTATTTGTTGTACCGATATTTTTGTTTCACGTTTAAACTGAATTGTGCTTCGCGTCCAGGGTGTTCTGTATGCTTTCAACTCCTCGTTTGTGCAGTTAGTTTTTTTTTTAAATATGGCGACAATTTTAGACACATGATTTTACTCAGCGGTCACCTCGGACACACAATGAGTAGACTGCTGATTGCCATCGTGTTCCAGATATGCCATCGAGTGGAGCCCGATTGGGAAACGATAAGTTAGGCGCCGGAGTGTCACATATAGGAAATTGTCTAAGGAGGAGATTATAAGGCTTAATGAGCAATCAAGGAGGAGCCAGCTAAAGAGAATTATAGGGGGAACAGGATGAAATGGAAGTGTGCTGTTGTTGAAGAGCTCTGTGTCCCACTCAAAACTCAAGGGGTTTAATAGTGATAATAATAATAATAATAATAGTAATTTCACAATACTTTAGAAAGCAGTTTTATTTAAGTCAACTGTCCTAGTAGAATAAGTGTTTCTTTCTGTGTTGGTATTGGCCTAAAGATACTATTGAACACATGCGGATTGTCTCTAAAAAAGGAAGTCAAATCCAAGTGCCTTTGTTTCATCTACACTGGGGAAGAGAAGGTTTTATTTCAATAGATAGTCTATTCCTGTCATTTCCGTAGTATGCATTTTTAATTCGTCTAAATTTCTTGTAAATAGTCAGTCCTTTTAAGTCTTAATTATTTAATTGCATGGAGGATTTAATCATGAGCTGACATCAGTTAGAGAACCACTGGAAAACCTGGGAGTACTGGACAGCTGTTTCGTCCTAGTTTTGAACTCTTCAGCAGTACGCACCCACCGGGATTCGAACCCAGGACCTTCTGGTTACAAGGCGAGCTCGTATACCATTGAGCCACTGGGACCCGATCCAATTATTATTAATTAATAAATTATTTAACAACTTACATCATTCCTGACTACTGTTACTCTTAGTTCCTACCAATTACCGCTTGTCATCGTGAAAAAAAGTATGTTCAAACCTTTAATGTTCAGGTTTTAGTCAGTTGACAAGAATCTTCGAAATAATAAGGATAAGTTAAACAGACGTCAAATAAATATTCAGGTCAAGAATATGGATATAAAGGCGAAAAGCAGATTAAGAGGTATTTCGGTTGAACCATAAGGTAGTTACCGATGTCCTGAATCTAGTCCATTGTGTTGGTCCAGACTCAGTTCTATCAGTTAAATTTAGTGTGCATCAACACCAATTAAAGTTTGCATCTTAGTTCTACAGGAGGTCAATGTCGACTCGAAATAGCTCAGAAGTAACCTTTCTGAATGCCTTACTGGGTGATATGGGTTCGGATATCAGAAACGACATAAGTTCTTTCAGGGTTTTTAATACGTCTTGGTGTCTGGTGGGTGCCAATGAAGCACGAAGCTTAAGTCCAAGGATTCCTGCCTATTGCCAGTAACCATCTGGCAGACTAGGGGTTATGTTGTCAGAGTTCCCTGACGCCACATTGGGATTAGTAATGGTGGATAACTTTGCTTTAATTTATCCGTGTTCTATTCACACAGACTGCAGTCTATTGAGGGTGACATTGTACTATTTTTTTTTAAAAGAAGTCCAGTGTGATGTCTAAGTTTACGTTGTTACATATACATAAAAAAAAAAAATAAAAAAAAAATACATTGATTCTCAGATAGAAGTTTTTGATGTGTTTATGGAGGCGGTCTGACAAAATCTTCAGATTTATTGAAAGCCTACGGAATAGCTACCTGTTTGTCATCAGAAGATATGCTGATATTCGACGTTATCCTGTTACAAACATTTTCAATGCTTCTTGTACCAGTAGGTTTGTACCTACAGTGTGGAAAGATTTTAAAATTATTACGGTACCCAAATCATGTCCTAGTATTAATGTTAAATTCATGCCTATTGCAGCTTCCTCTCCCGTTATCCCTCCCGGACTATGTATCTATATATATATATATATATATATATATATATATATATATATATATACTTTTGATTATTTGCCCAGATGCCTTTTATTGAACAAGCTTTCCGAGACATAAACTCAGTTAGCCAGTTGAACTCTTTTTTCCCTAACAGAATGCAGTATGCTGCATATAAACACAAGTCTTCCTCTGGCTTGCTCACTGAGACAGGAGTCCCTCAAGGTACTATTCTGCCTCCATCTCTTTTTTCTTTCTTTTTGTATGACTAACCTATTTCTGATCAAATCAACGTCGTCAAAATACCCCTGGTGGTGATCT